TTTTGAACTGCAACTCCCAGAAACCCCAGTCAGCACAACTGGTGGTGAAGGCTTCTGGGAGCTGCAGTCCAAAACTCCTGAGTAACTCAAGGTTAAGAACCAGTGATGTAGTGGATAATTGTCAGACTAAGACTCCGGAGACTCGGGTTCCGATCTCCTCTCAGCCATGGAAACTTAGTGGAGGATAGTAGCCATGTAAAACCCATCAGAGCACGCCAGGCCCTTAATCTGTACAGTGGACCCTTGACTTACAGACGGCTTGATTTACAGACTTTTTGAGTTACAGACTTCTCTGGCCGCAAAATTTAGGTTTGACTTGCAGACTGAGATTTGACTTACAGACCAGAAAAAAACCAAAATGGAACAAAAACGGCCTGTTACGGGATTAATCGGTTTTCAATGCACTGTAGCTCAATGGAGACTTGACCTACAGACTTTTGACCTGCAGCCATTGTTCCAATACAGATTAATTCTGTAAATCAAGGGTCCACTGGACTGCCTGGACTGCATTTTCCCTGCCCTTCCCTGAACCTTTCTTGACCTAAGAAAAAAAGAAACAAACTATCCCCCTCTAGTGGTCGAAGGCGGAATAGCACCTTCCCATTAGTTTCTATGGACGGAAAAGAGCAGATACGGATCAAATGGTTTTCAATGCATTCCTATGGGAAATGCAGATTTGACCTGAGAACTTTTTGACTTGAGAACCGCCTTCCAATACGGATTAAGTTCTCAAGTCAAGACCCCATTGTACTGGTCTATCTTCCAAGAAGCATGGTGGGGATTTGAAATTCTAACCGATTCTGAGGCAGCTGCTTGTATCCACTGAGCTACATCAAGGTCTCCAAGTTTAGGAGTTAGACTGTATGATCCATTGGGTCCTTTTCAACTCTGTAGTTCTAAGATGATGACGAGTTTAAGTCCTAACGAGGCCTTAGTTGATCTTGGTAGGCTGCCGTATGTGTCAGCGATTCTGGAGAAAGCTAGGACATTCTTAACCACGTTGATTTCTCTCCCTTTCTCCCTTTGGCCACTTCGGAACCCAAAGATTCGAGTTTGCAGATGACGTGGTCTTACCGGAGAGCTTCGATGCGCGGCGACAGTGGCCCAACTGCCCAACGATCAATGAGATCAGAGACCAGGGTTCTTGTGGTTCCTGCTGGGTAAGATGTCCTAGTTGGGTTCTGTCGTTAGAGTGCAATTCTGAGCCCTTTTCTCTGTCAACCGGGGTTGGCAGTTCCAGCATCTGGAGGGACCGCCCATGGCCTGCCCCGAAGCTAGTGGGTGCTTCAGGAAAAAGGAGGGCTTCCCAAAACCTGTTTAGAAAGGTGGAAGAAGGAAGGGAGAGTTTGATGGGATGGTAGACCAACGGGCATCGTCTGACCTATTAGCAAGGTAAAACTGGATACGTAATCAACACATGGGTCTGGCTACTGGAGTTCATCGGACCGGAGAACTACTCTTCTGGAGAAAAGTCTGAGATTGGGAGTCCCTTTATTACATTGATACGTCACAAATAAGATGATTCCTGCATTGAGCAGGGCACTTACAAGGCCCATCGGACTCCACTCTTCTAAGAGTTTTTGAATTCTCCAGCACTTGCCCAAGAATACTGTCAAAAAACTTGGGGTTAAGGCCTCAAAATAGTTCTGTTTTGTCAGATGTGGAACATAAACTCCATTTTGTTTTGTTGGCCATCTGCGGTCTTCCATCTGACCCAAAATTTTGTAAGCTCTCTTCTACCTTAGCGTTCCAGCTAGGGTCCATCCCAAATTCCTTCAGGCAGGAATTTGGGCACAGGGGTCATCCTTTGCCAGAGCTTAGGAAAGGAATGACGCCTTCAATGTGTGCCCACCTCCACTAACTGGCCCCCACTAACCTGGGGTGAAAAGGTACCAACATATTTCCCCCACGCTGGCCGCCTTGCATTGACTGCCCATTCGTTTCCATGTTGACTTCAAAGTCCTAACAATGACATATAAAGCCCTAAATGGTTTAGGAGGAATTAAAGAACCTTGTAATGAGGGTGAAAGAGGAGAGTGCAAAAAACGGTCTGAAACTCAACATCAAAAAAACTAAGATCATGGCCAGTGGTCCCATCACCTCCTGGGAAATAGAAGGGGAAGATATGGAGGCAGTGACAGATTTTATTTTCCTGGGCTCCATGATCACTGCAGATGGAGACAGCAGCGCCGAAATTAAAAGACGCCTGCTTCTTGGGAGGAAAGCGATGACAAACCTAGACAGCATCTTAAAAAGCAGAGACATCACCTTGCCAACAAAAGTCCGCATAGTCAAAGCTATGGTTTTTCCTGTTGTGATGTATGGAAGTGAGAGCTGGACCATAAAGAAGTCTGACCACCAAAGAATGGATGCCTTTGAATTGTGGTGCTGGAGGAGACTCTTGAGAGTCCCCTGGATTGCAAGGAGAACAAACCTATCAATTCTAAAGGAAATCAACCCTGAGTGCTCACTGGCAGGACAGATCCTGAAGCTGAGGCTCCAGTACTTTGGCCATCTCATGAGAAGAGGGGATTCCCTGGAAAAGACCCTGATGTTGGGAAAGTGTGATGGCAAGAGGAGAGGATGAGATGGCTGGACAGTGTCTGCGAAGCAACCAACATGAATTTGACCCAACTCCGGGAGGCAGTGGATGACGGGAAGGCCTGGCGTGCTCTGGTCCATGGGGTCACGAAGAGTCTGATACGACTAAACGACGAAACGAAATGGTTTAGGACCTTGATATCTGGCAGAGTGCCTCCTCCCACCCAGTTCTGCCAGAGTCACTCGTTCCAGCCAGGCTGGGCATCTGAGGGGCCTAACACCGAGGGAGGTCTGGAAGGAAAAAACGAGGAACAGGGCCTTCTCGGCAGTGGCCCCTCACCTTTGGAACAACTTGCCCGGGGAGATCCGCCTGGCTCCCTCTCTGGGTGTCTTCAGAAGCAAACTCAAAACCTGGCTATTTGGGCGGGCTTTCCCTCCTGCTGTATCTTAAATGTCACATCTTACCATCTTGGGTTTATAGTGCATGTTTATTGGTTTAACTCTTTTTAAAATTTGTAATGCCGCCCAGAGTAGACCTTTGGTCTAGATGGGTGGGGTAGAATTAAATAAAATAAATAAAATATCAGACAGTAACTCTTTGGGTCGCCACCTGCAGGCCTTCGGTGCTGTGGAAGCCATGTCGGATCGTGTTTGCATCCACACCAACGCCAAGGTGAACGTGGAAATTTCTGCCGAAGACCTGCTCTCTTGCTGTGGTTTCGAGTGTGGGATGGGGTGAGTCACCAGCTTGGCCTCGGCACTGCGTTGCCGCTATGGGGAGGGGTGGAAGACCGCTTTCTAAGGTCTTCTTAGACTCTTCTAAATATGGAGGAGGACTTCTCTGACAGGTTGGAAAAGGTTCCTTTTTGTGATGACAAAATCCCTCAGTCTACATAGCCGGTGACCTCATTCTTTGTAAAAATGGTAATCTTGGAAGAGTTGATCTTCCCATATTCTGCTCTGTGGGTGTCAAGAGGAACAACAGTTAGCCACTTCCGGAGACTTGCATTCTTTGCAGAAGGAAGCTGTCCCTAATTTTCTGTAGCAGTTTTTTTTTCTAAATAGTAGGCATTTTAAAAAAAACTCCTTATTTTTCCCTAGGGAATCATAGAATCGAGAAGTTGGACGGGCCCTCTAAGGCCATCAAGTCCAACCTCCTGCTCGATGCAGGGAATACAAATCAAAAGATATCTGCCCAGTGTTTGACTTAAGTTTTGAAAGCCTCCAGCGTTGGGAGCGCTCACCACGTCCTGAGGTCATGGGTCCCATCGTCGTACTGCTCTAACAGTTGGGAAGTTTTTCCTGATAATTCAGCCGAAATCTGGCTTTGGGTAACTTGAGCCCATTGTTGTGTGTCCTGCACTCTGGGATGATCGAGAGCATCTCATCAACTGTAAATAATCCATGTAGTTTTAGACGAGGGAGCCGCGTTAATCTGTGCTAGCATCTCAGGCCATGAATAAAATAATGAAAAACTAAGAAGGCCAAAAAACATTGTGGTGCTCAAAGTGCTAGCATTTGATGAGAGCTTTTGTGGACAAGTCCAGTTCCTCGGTGTCCATAACTCTTGTTGGTTTGCAGGTGCAACGGAGGCTATCCTTCTGGAGCATGGAAGTACTGGACCGAAAAGGGCTTAGTCTCAGGAGGCCTCTATGACTCCCACGTGGGTGAGCGAATCCTCTTTGGCTCCAGGGTGTCTTTGGTGCTCACTGGGATGTGGACTTCCTATTAAGCCCTTGGTGGTGATTGTCTTTCTCTGAATAAATTCGTGCTTCCATCGGTTCATGGCGAGGAGCTTTGTGGTTCCTCAAGTGTGGACGGATCACGAAGCAGGACGAGTCGCCAAAATGGGGATTCGTCCCCATCTCTAAATCAGGACTTAATTTCACCTTGTTCAGATGGCTGAGCTGAGGCCAGTAGTCCAGCGTATTGGCTGTTCAATCTGTGTTAAGTGACGAGGCAGAGAAGAGCAAGGCGCCCTCAAGATGCTGGTGGCATCTCGCTCCAGTGCTTTGAATTGACCTCTTCTAAAGAAAGAGTTATGGGACGTGGTGGCGCTGCGGGTTAAACTGCAGAAGCCTCTGGGCTGCAAGGTCAGAAGACCGGCAGTCGTAAGATCGAATCCACACGATGGAATGAGCTCCCGTCACTTGTCCCAGCTCCTGCCAATCTAGCCGTTCAAAAGCATGTAAAAATGCGAGTAGATAAATAGGTACCACCTCAAGGGAAGGTCATGGCACTCCATGTCTAGTCGCGCTGACCATGTGACCATGGAAACTGTCTACGGACAAACACTGGCTCTACAGCTTGGAAACGGGGATGAGCACAGTGCCCTAGAGTCGGACACAACTGGACTAAATGTCAAGGGGAACTTTTACCTTTTTAAAGGAAGACTAAATGTCAAGTGGAACCTTCACCTTTTTAAAGGAAAAGTTGGCTATATTCTATGGTCTTGCTTCTCTCTGCTGTGTCCTACACATTAAAAAAATAATTCCGGGTGCTAGTTGTTTCAGTTTGGTGAAGCAGCATCTTGTGACCGCATCAAGTCATCAGTTTTGTGGCTTCCACCTTTAGAAATGGCCTTCTAGGCCACGTTTTTATGCTCATTAAAATAACTTCTGTTTCTGCTATCCAAGATCTTCCGTGGGATTTGAATCAAGGAAATGGAATGGGATTCTGTAGCTATCGCTAGATCTGTCTGGAGACACCATAGGTTTTCTCTGCTCTCGGACTTCAGGCCCCGTGGAAGATCATTTCTTAATGGTGTTTTGTCTCCATTTTCCCTGGACAGGCTGCAGACCCTATTCTATCCCTCCCTGTGAACATCACACTAATGGATCTCGGCCCCCTTGCACTGGAGAAGGGGGAGAGACCCCGGATTGTGTCAAGAGGTGCGAAGATGGCTATTCTCCGTCGTACAAGGATGACAAACACATGGGTAATAAAAGCTCTTGATTTTTTAAAAAACTTTGAAAACTTGACTCTAGCTTTTTAGAATATGTCAGGCTTCCCAAGACAGTGACTCTTAAGTTTTTTTTAACCCTGAAAATAGTCATAGAAAACAAGTTGACCTGACCAGCGTCAGCTGGTTTTTATTTCATTTTTTAAAATTAAGCATGCAATTAAAGATGTGGTTTAATTAAAACTGGAATTCAGAAGCTTGCTACCATTACGTGGGAGCCAGATCTCGGATAAGAGAGGCTAAATCTTCATTATTTAAAAATGTTTACGGTCATTCCCCCCCCCCAGACAATTAACTTGAAAGGAATTAAAGAGAATTCTAAAACCAATTTAAAAGTCATCCATACAGTCAAATCAAACTGCTCATAGATTTTTGGGGAAAACAAAACACTTTTAAAGGGTCCTGGTGCCAAAAGGATTGCAGTGTGTTTAAACTGTGCCTCTAGTCCTCATGGAGGAAAAGACTTGAGAAGACAAGTCCAGAAAGACACAAAAAATCCAAAGGCAAAAATAGGCAATACTTTCATAAATCGCTAAAAATCATTATAGTATAAACGACCTTTCATTTTAGAGAAAAACAAATATTGTTATTTGTTCTCAGTGAACTGCAGCAGTCAGTAATGAGGAGGTAGAAGATGTACATCTGAATTCAGGTGTCTGAATAGTTTCTCACATTGAATTTACCTTTTCCATCATCATCACCTCTTCGTTTATCCAGGACTTACATCCTATGGCGTCCCACGCAGTGAGAAGGAAATAATGGCTGAAATCTACAAGAATGGGCCTGTGGAAGGAGCATTTACTGTTTACTCAGACTTCCTCATGTACAAATCAGGTGGGTCTTTTGGGAATAACAGGTTTTTGAAAAATACAACCCTCTTAAAATGGCGTGACAGTGTCCATGCGTCAACCTCATTAGCACTCAAGTGACTTTGTGATGTGCTTTAAAGAGGAGATAGCAAATTCTGGTGATAATGGAGTGGACTTAATTCAAAACTGATTTTCCATAATTTTATTGATGATGATGGTCAAGTCAAGTCACTGTCACGTCAACTCTGACTTAGGATGAAACTTTTCGGGGTTTTCCACGTAGAGATTACCAAGAACTGGTTGACCCTTCCCTTCTTCTGGGAGGGGATCCCTGGGACTGTGCAGCTTGCCCAAGGCCATCCAGGCTGGCTCTTCACCCAAGAGGCACAGGCTGTTTATATACAGTACAGTACTCTTTATTATGGGTTCTGGTGGGCACTGCGGGTTAAACCGCAGAAGCTTCTGTGCTGCAGGGTCAGAAGACCAAATCCACGCGACGGAGTGAGCTCCCGTCGCTTGTCCCAGCTCCTGCCAACCTAGCCATTCGAAAGCATGTAAAAATGTGAGTTGATAAATAGGTACCACCTTAATGGGAAGGTAACGGCATTCCGTGTCTAGTCGTGCTGGCCACGTGACCGCGGAAGATTGTCTTCGGACATATGCTGGCTCTACGGCTTGGAAATGAGGATGAGCACCGCACCCTAGAGTCCGACATGACTGGACAAATTGTCAAGGGGAACCTTTACCTTTCTCTTTATTATGGGTTCTCTTGACTTTATGGGGATTTTGACATGGGGAAACCTTAAGTGTGAAAGAGTTGAATTTTGCTTAATGTCGTGCTTGAAAGCAGTATTGAAATCTAAAATCACATAGATCAGTTACCCAGCTGAGACACACACAAAGTCATGGGCAAAATAGGCTTCTCTCTCCCCCCTCTCCATCCTGTACAAAAACCAATAAAGTTCAGAAATCCACCTGGATCTTTTCAGCCTTGACGTCTGTAGTTAAATTCAGTCCCAAAATGGGACATTGGGCTGGAGGACTCAGTAGCAGGTATGCAGATGGCACGTAATGTCTAGCAATGCTGGCTGGCTTTTAAAAGGAGACAGTCAGGCTCTTATCTCTGGAAATACAAGTTGTAAACAGCATCTCAGTCCAACTTCCTGTTGCCATCAGCCTGACATGAAAGCTTTTCCAATGAATGGAAAGACTTTCTTGTGTCTTATCTGAGTAGCTCCTTGCTTGGTTTGCATGGGAAATTCTAATGCTTCTGTTTGGAAAATGTGTTAATTCTCTATTTTTTCTGCATTATTTTCCCTCCTCCTCCTGCAGGTGTCTATCAACATGTTTCTGGAGAGGAAGTGGGTGGCCACGCCATCCGGATCCTTGGCTGGGGCGTTGACAAAGGCACACCTTACTGGTTGGTTGCCAACTCCTGGAACACAGACTGGGGTGAAAATGGTATGTGATGATGATGCGTCTCATGGCAGCTTTGGGTGGCTCTATAAGAGGAAGGTGTGTGGGTCAGGGAGGCTTGGGCTGTTTTTAATGCCTCAGGAAGAAGCAGGATTTTCTGGGAGAAAAAAGCAGTCGTGCTGGAAAAGGTGGAAGGCGGCAGGAAAAGAGGAAGGCCAAATATGGAATGGATTGACTCCCTGAACGAAGCCACAGGATTGCGTTTGCAAACAGTGGAGGCCAGGACATTTTGGAGATCATTCATTCATTCATGGGGTCGCCCATAAGCCAAGGGTGGCTTGACGGCACATCACAACCACAGGTCTTGTGGGACTTCCAAGTCCTACCAGCCCTAGCTGGTGGTGACGAATGATGGAATCTGTAGTCCAGCAGCATGGATTTTTCTTATGTCCTGACCTTACCATCCCCGGGTTTGTCTTGAGAGAACTTGAGAGCCCATTCGTTCGGTCCGTTTGCAGATAAAATACGTGATGCTCTTCCTTCTGAGCTTGTAAAACTGTTCTAATGTCTGTTGGCATAATTTCTGTTCTCAACCTTATGTTCGTCCCACATCTGGGCCCTTTTGAGGAGAAAGGCAGGGTAAAAATATTCTCCGTCCGTCCGTCTGGGTATGCCAAAGCAAATGAAAATAGGGCAGGTGGAGTACTTTTTTGGAGGGCGAGAGATGTGACACCCCTTCCACAAATGTCACTAGAGCTATTGATGGTCTGCTTTATAAGCAGGGGACTTTACGACCGTCACTCCTGTAATTCACCCAGAACCTTCCCGTAGAAGAATTATGTGGAGGTTCTTATGTGCTGTCAAGTAGTCGCCTCCGACTTATGGTGACCTTATGAAGGCGAGATCTCCAGAATATCCTATCTCCATGGCCTTGCTCGGTAAAATCCCCCAAGTCCTATTGCTACTTATAGAAATCATAGAAAAGAGCAAAGCATATCTGCCAGGTGATTATGTAAGTTCATGAATTCCTCCAGGGTTGAAGCACTCGCCAACTCCTGAGGTAATTGGTTCCGTTGTCATACTGCTCTAACAGGAAGTTTTTCCTCGTATTCAACCAAAATCTGGCTTCCTGTCACTTGAGCCCATTGTTGCGTGTCTTGCACTCGGGGACTTCTCTATATAGCTAGTTTCGTTTCGTGCTGTCCAGGTTAAAAGGAACCGGACGAGTGTGTGCGTGAGAGAGTTGAAGTGTTCTGTCTCAGTAAGGGGAATCTCTTAATTCCAGATGGCTTTGTCTTGTTTCGTTTATTGCTTGTCTGCCTGCCACGGTCTCCCAGAATTATGGATGACAAAAATAAATTTATTTATTTAAAACAATCTTAAATGTCGCTTTTTAAAAACCCAACATTTAAAAAAATTATTAGTTACTAATAAAAGAAAAATTACGAATAATAAAATGAAAACTAAAATGCAGACTCAATGGTGACTGCGCACACAATACACATTGAAGTTTCCCCACCTATGCCACCTTCATCATTGGGACTAGGTGAGCGCTAATACCAATTTGTACCCCTTTTAACCCCATTCCTCTCCAAAAATACATTGATTCTTCTGCTGGCCTATGGCCTTTCTCCTTCGAAAAACCGTACTACAAGAATAAATTCCATACATCTTTGAAATCGTTAGACTTCGCCATTCCAATTCTCATTTACATTTCATATGTTAACATATCGTTAAGTGCTAAGCTCCACATTTCTTTATACCAATCTACAAGATTAATTTGTTGCTTTTCCAACTCTTTGCAAATATTAATCTTGCTACTGTAACCATTACAACTAACTCTTTTCTGATCCTTTTTTTTTTTCAAATGGTCATTCTTGATTAAGTTCAGGAGGGCAATAATTGGAAATATCTAAATATCCAATAATTTGTCATAATGGTTAACATGCAACGGGACCTTCATAGAGGGTCTCAAATTGCAGACAGGATAATATGGGATGAGGCATATTTTTAGAAAACCTGTCTGCAAAATCCACTTTAAAGCCTGCCCGAAATGCTCAAGAGCAAATGTTTGTTCCTAGGGATGAGGTTTTTGAATTTTCCGGAGTACGGATACCTTCCTTCTCCATTCTGGGAACTCAACCTACTTTGCAGGCACCTTACAGACACCTCCGTAGAATGGATCTGGGAGAAAGGGGCTACATTAGAAGGCCTTGAGGCTTAGCTAAGCCTAGTCTTGCCTCTTTTCCTGTTCTGAAAGGAAGCTCCCCGCTAGTACAGGGGGGCAGGAACAGGGAACCTGGGCAGAGCTAGGCCGAGCTAAGCCTCCAAGCTTTTCAGCTGAGGGAGAACTCCAAGAATGGAGAAATATGACATTTGTGGTTAAAAAACAAAAATCTCTTCCCTATTTATTCCTGAAGGGATGTGGTGGCGCTGCGGGCTAAACTGCAGAAGCCTGTGCTGCAGGGTCAGAAGACCAGCAGTCATAAGATCGAATCCACGTGACGGAGCGAGCGCCCGTCGCTTGTCCCAGCTCCCGCCAACCTAGCGGTTTGAAAGCATGCATATGCGAGTAGATAAATAGGGACCACCTCGGTGGGAAGGTAACAGCATTCCGTGTCTAGTCACGCTGGCCACGAGACCACAGGAACAGTCATCGGACAAACGCTGGCTCTATGGCTTGGAAACGGGGATGAGCACCGCCCCCTAGAGTCGAAGACGACTGGACAAAAATTGTCAAGGGGAACCTTTACCTTTACCTTATTTATTCCTATTTGCCTAGCTAAGAACTCTGGGTATGGGACGACTTTGCCAAAATGTTTTCTCAACTTTTTCTAGGTTTCTTCAGAATCCTCCGCGGAGAGGACCACTGCGGGATCGAGTCCGAGGTTGTCGCCGGAATCCCCAATTAAAGCCAATACTGGAGGATGCTGTAACATCGTTGTCGTTGTCATCATCTTCCAGCTCCAGTTAATTCTTCTGCGAATAATCAAGCTGATCATGACCTGTGGAAACAGAAGCCGTTTGTTGCTCCTGAGACATTTTAAACTTCATTCTCTCTCTTTTTTAAAAAAATTAATCTTAAAGCCTTTAAAAAATATTTTTTAAAACTTTATTGTACAGTACTGGCCGGTTGCCTTTCCAGCGGGGAGGGTGAGGCGCCGTACATCCTGCCTGCGAGACAAAATGGCGGGAGATGGAACTGGACGGACCGAACCGGGCGTCTCTCGACAAAGGAAAGATGTGATGGGACGCAACGCCTCCTGTGCTTTTGTTTTGCTTTTTATGGGAAGACAATGATCCTTGTAACAAAAAAAAAATTGGTAATCTGAGCTTGGATGGCTTTGAGCATCCTTAGATTCAGGTAAAGCTGTGAAGTTAGTGGTGGGAAACCGGCGTTGTGAGTTGACTTTTGGAAAGCCGTGCTATCAAGCCAAGAGATAAAAGTGGACTTGAGCATTAACGCCCAGTGCCCGCAAGGGCAATAAGGGCTAAAGTAGCCGTTTGTTTACGATACCTAGGTTGAGCTCTCTTACGTATTTTCAGAGGACATCTCCTCAGTTTAACACTAGGGAGTACGAGGAAGGAGAGAAAACTTGACAGGCTTATCCTTCACTTACACAAAACCCTTCTTTTCCTTCCCATTCCTCTATTTTGACATGGGTGCGAAATCAGCAAGAGAAGGACCAGGGAGGAGAACTGACGGGGGGCCTTATTTTAAACTGACCTGCATTGCATCCTTTATAAACTACCGTTGGCTTGCAAAATCATTGAGGGGGCTCGCATTTTAAGGCTTCCATCATAACGGAACTGAATAATTGGGGAAGCCCAAAACTAAGAAGGTCTGGCATGAGTTTTTTATTCCTATGAGGCCTTAGCATTTCCTCTATATATTCCACTTTATTCCCATTTTCTATTCTCTGAGGAGTATGGGATGAGCTGGACTTTTCTGTAAAGAGGTAGCAATGCTTCGCTTAAACACTAGTCTTTTCCTACTGCACGTTATCTGTAGGGAACTGAAGTAGAGGTGGAAACACTGTTGGCATGTGGCAAAACATCATGGCTTAGATTGATTCTTGGCCTGTACTTTTAGCATAACTGAAGCCCGTTGGCTTTTAACTGAATGCCCCTGATTTCAGTGGATCTGCTGCAGAAATGAGTCATTTTGGATCTGGCTGGTAGGCACCACCTAACTTCACTCGTGTTCCGTTTCAAAGACTTGTACAGGTTAAAGGCCAACAGTCGTCAAATGTGTGGTTGCAAAAGTGGCCGAATGTTGATCCCTGTGGCTTCGTAATGTATTTCTCATCTCTAATAAAGACCTTCCAATCTCGTCGTGTTGTCTAGATTTCCCCTCTCCTTTTCAGCTGCTCCATGGCAGCAGAACACCCATCTCTGGTGTCAGATGGTGAGGTTTCAGCTAGGTGTTGAGGGAAACCCCTGATGGTTACTAGAGCAGACCAGATGACTTTGGAAGGCTGGAAGTTTTGAACAGAGATGGTGGTTGTGGGTCACCTGTTACTGGTGCTTTAATGGTTTGTTGTTAAGTCGTGTCCGTCTCTTCGTCACCCCATGGACCAGAGCACGCAAGGCCCTCCTGTCTTCTACTGCCTCCCGGAGTTGTGTCAGGTTCATGTTGGTTGCTTCGCAGACACTGTCCAGCCATCTCATCCTCGGTCGTCCCCTTCTCCTCTTGCCTTCACACTTTCCTAACATCAGGGTCTTTTCCAAGGAGTCTTCTCTTCTCATGAGATGGCCAAAGTACTGGAGCCTCACCTTCAGGATCTGTCCTTCCAGTGAGCACTTGAGGTTGATTTCCTTCAAAATGGATAGGTTTGTTCTCCTTGCAGTCCAGGGGACTCTCAAGAGTCTCCTCCAGCAACATAATTCAAAAGCATTGTGTACCTGCCCCAATCCAGCCACGTTGGGCAACGCAACCCGCAAGGCAGGAAAACAAGATGGCAGATGCAACCACCTTGGCTTTTCAGCTATTTATAAGAACTAGGGACAGCCAAAAAAACCCTCCAATTCAGTATCCAAAGAGGCCAGCCAATTATCTGCAGAATTAGGGGCACATGGAAAAGGGCTCAAATGCACCCTCTCTGACATGTGCCAAGAACTGATCTCAAAGTACAGATGTAGGGGTGATACATAGCCATTCTAACTAGTAGCCATGCACAGCTGTAAGCTCCACAAATGTATGTAATGCCCTTTTAAAACCATGCATGCTGGCAGATGTCACTACTGCTTGTGGCAGTGAGTTCCACTGCTTCCTTCTATTCCATCTCCTGTCCTTCACTTTCAGCAGTTGAGCCCACGATTGTCCCAATCGTTTCTAGTTAAACCTGCCGGATTCCACTGGTGAATTGCCACCAGGTCTTCTCATGACCCAATAAAGCAAAGCTGTCCTCTTGACACTCATCAATTCATGGCTGAAATACATTGATGGGGTTACCCTGGCATATATGTACCCTGTTTCCCTGAAAATAAGCCCTAGTGGGATTTTTCAGGATGCTTGTAATATAAGCCCTACCCCAAAAATCAGCCCTAGTCAAGTGAAACCCCACCCTCCACCATTGTGCAGCAACCAGAAGATGATGACAGGATTGTATTTTAATAAATGTATATTGTATATGAAAAAAAAACATCCTCTGAAAATAAGCCCTGATGCATTTTTGGAGCAAAAATTAATAAAAGACCGTTTTATTTTGGGAATTTTGGCCTCTACATTCCCTTGACATGCGTAATTTTCTGCACTTGTACAGTGGACCCTTGACTTACAGACAGCTTGACTTACAGACTTTTTGAGTTACAGACTTCTCTGGCCGCAAAATTTAGGTTTGACTTGCAGACTGAGATTTGACTTACAGACCAGAAAAAAACCAAAATGGAACCAAAACGGCCTGTTACGGGATTAATCGGTTTTCAATGCACTGTAGGTCAATGGAGACTTGACTTACAGACTTTTTGACTTGAGAACCGCCTTCCAATACGGATTAAGTTCTCAAGTCAAGACCCCACTGTATTAATTTGTAAGGGAAGTGTTGTCGCTGCGGGTTAAACTGCAGAAGCCTCTGTGCTCCAGGGTCGGAAGACCAGCCGTCGTAAGATCGAATCCACGCAATGGAGTGAGCTCCCATCGCTTGTTCCAGCTCCTGCCAACTGAACCGTTCGAAAGCATGTAAAAATGTGATAAATAGGTACCACCTCAGTGGGAAGGTCACGGCGTTCCGTGTTTAGTCGCGCTGGCCACGTGACCACGGAAACTGTCTACAGACCAACGCTGGCTCTACGGCTTCGAAACGGTGATGAGCACTGTGACCTAGAGTCAGACATGACTGGACTAAATGTCAAGGGGAACCTTGACCTTTATTACATTGGAGCTTTTGCAACCTGGCATGCTGCCTTTAGCAGGATTGTCTGGGAGGGACCTTTTTGGGTTGGGGTAACAGTCAATCTATCCAGCACTAGCCAATCATTCCTTCCTTGCCTCTCTGCTCGGTGTTTTTTTTCTTGTCCATTGGCAGTCAGGAATCTGTTGAAAGCAGGTACAGTGGTGCCTCGCATTACGACGTTAATTCATTCCAGCGAAATGACTTTAGAACGGAAATGTAATGTGAAATTAAAAAGCTCATAGAAACGCATTAAAACACGATTAATGCGTTCCTATGGGCTTGAAACTCACCGTCCAGTGAAGATCCTCCATAGTGCGGCCATTTTTGCTGCCCGTGCAGCGAGGAATCCATCCCAGAAGAGAGCAGGGAGCCATTTTGAGACTGCCGATCAGATGGCCGAAAATCGTCGTTTTGTGAGAATCGGTTCCCGAAGCAGGGAACCGATCATCACAAAGCAAAATTCCCCCATTGAAACCATCGTAAAGCGATCGCAAAAAAGTTCATCGTGATGCCAGGCGCTCGCCTTGCAAGGCACCACTGTAGTCTGTTGAAGTCTGTTTGCTGAAAGCAGTCATGTTTTGTCAGTTTGCTACATTTCACTGTAAGTAAATGAAACATTCTTCTTTCAAGTATCTCAGAGTTATTGTAAGAACCACTTAATGAGAAAAAGGACTAGACTAATCCGGAGAACCTGGAAGTTCTTCTGTGAATCCTGGCACTTCCGCTGCAGTTAGAGGAATTTACACAAAAATTCAAAACTCCAACATATAATGCCTCCCTTTACTCCTTTTTTAACTAACCTAACCAGCTCTAAATGTTCTGATCCCGCCCCCCCCCTTTTGCTGGTCCCTTTCTGCTCTGAAATGTTAAGTTTTTTTAAAAAATGAAATAGGACCTCTTGTGCCTTCAAGAGAAACCAGCAAAGATACTTAACTACTTTGAGCAATACCATCTGACGCAAAGGAAAGCCAACAACCCTACAAAGCCAGGACTCGTGGTGATGACCACAAGCCGTTGAGCTAAGCACTCCTGTTTCAAGTGATTTTGCTGCTAGCTTGGCCTAAGAAAGCAAGCTCCCAGCTAGCACCAGGACAGGAACAGGAAGCTTGGGCAGAGCTAGGCCTAGCTAAGCTTCAGTGCTTTACAGATTTAGGCCGTTCCCCCAGGGGCATCACATTTGTGAGGTTGTCTGTTAAGGCAAGGAGAACTCCCAGAGTGGAGAATTTTGGCATTTGTCGTCCAGAAGATCCAAAAATCCCATCCCTTCTGGTGACCCTTAAGAGGTCATGGAAAGCTGAAAACCTTCGGACTTAAAGGCTACACTCCAGTTGTTATTACGGTCAAGTGTTTTCCTACTCCCTGCTCTAGACAATGGCCCTCATTCAAAGAGACTGAGGCAGGGAGCTCTACCAGTGCTGGCCATTTTGGAGAGAGGGAGGGACCTGATGCTCTTCTTTTCTCCCTCCAAGAATTAAACAAACGGTACAGCAGAAGAGATGGGCACAAACCGGTTCGTCCCGGTTCGTCAAGGCGGCAGCACAGGGGCTGATGCTCCCCTTCCCTGCCTCCTCTAGCTCAACCAGCCCCTCACCAGGTCCAGCTTCCTGCCCCTCCTCAACTGACCTTCTGGTCCCCGCAACAGCTCAGGATTCCCTGCCCTGCCCTCTCGGCTGATCTCCCACTCTGACCAAAAGGGAGAGGGGCAGAGAAGTTTGTGCTCATGCTGGTAACTGGGAGATCAGTCGTGGGGAAAAAAACAAGCACGCCGGACCTGGTGAATGGTGGAGGAGGCAGGGAAGTAGCAGCTTCTGCGCTGCCGCCTTTACGAACTGGGACGAACCAGTTCGTGCCCATCTCTATACAGCCGCAAACAAGCATTCCAGGTATCTAGTGAATATAAAAAGTTTACACACCCCTGTTAAAATGTCAGGTATCTGTGATGTAAAAAAAATGAGACAAAGATAAATCATTTCAGAGCCTTTTACACCTTTAATGAGACCTATGAACTGTACAACAAACTGAAATCTTTTAGGTGGAGGGAAGTAAAAATAAAAAAATAATAATATGGTCGCATCTGTGTGCACACCCTTAAACTAGTACTTTGTCGAAGCACCTCTGGATTTTATTACAGCACTCAACCTTTTTGGGTATGAGTCTATCAGTATGGCACATCTTGACTTGGCAATATTTTCCCACTTTTTGCAAAAATGCTCCAAATCCATCAGATTGCAAGGGCGTCTCCTGTGCACGGCTCTCTCCAGATCACCCCACAGATACTCAATTGAATTCAGATTTGGGCTCTCCTGGGCCATTCCAAACTGTTAATCATCTTCTGGTGAAGCCATTCCTTTGTTGATTTGGATGTCTGCTTTGGGTCGTTGTCATGCTGAAAGATGAAATTTCTTCCTCATGTTCAGCTTTCTAGCAGAAGCCTGAAGGTTTTGTGCCAATATGGACAGGGATTTGGAACTGTTCATAAATCCCTCTACCTTGACTAAGGTCCCTGTCCCAGCTGAAGAAAAACAGCTCAAAGCATGATGTTGCCACCACCACATTTCACTGTGGGTATGGTGTTCTTTTGGTGATGTGCAGTGTTGTTTTTGTGCCAAACAGATCTTTTGGAATTATGGTCGAAAAGTTCAACCTTGGTTTCATCAGACCGTAGCACTTTTCCCCACATGCTTTTGGGAGACTTCAGATGTGTT